TGGCTAGCGCGGCACATTAGTTAAAAGATAATATAGGTGTCCTAAGATAAGCTCAAATGAGAATAGAAATCTCAGGTGGAACAAAAAGGTAAAAGCTCATTTGATTTTGATTTCGCTTATGGATATGAACCATGAAAGCATGGCCTATTAATCTTTTAGACCTTTGGAATTTGAAGCTAGAGGTGATAAAAAAGTTACCACAGGGATAACTAGCTTGTGGCAACCAAGTGTTCATAATGAAATTACTTTTTTATCCATTGATGTCCTAGGACTATGTTCAGGCATGCTCGTACTTAGGTCTGACCATGCACCTGTATCTTGATCATCGATGCTCACTCTTAGGTTTGATCGTGTGCCCATGCATTACTCACCTATGCTTGCACTTGAGCCTGGCTTAATTTTGTTAGACTTGAACACCATGCCTAAGTCTCTGGAGTTTTAATCACTACCCATACCACTATTCTTGGCTAGTTGCTCATGACCTGGGCTTGCATAAGCCTCAAGGCCTGGTCCCCCTAGCTGTCAGACACTATCTCGCTAGAACTGGAATTGTTCTTCGACTCAAAGAGAACCCCTAGGCCTAGACTAGCTTGCAGACCATGATACATGCTAATGCCTTGACCACTATCAAGGCATGTTGGCCGTTAGTCTTGACACATGCTTTAACCACCATCAGCACATGGTTTAACCACCATTAGCACATGTTGGGCCACGCACCATACGAGGGTATGCAAGGCTTGGGAAGCACACCATGTGCACCATGATCAAGCAGTAGGTGGGTTTAAGCACATCTTCAAATTTTTGCCGTGCTAGTGGCATTTTTATGGCTTGTTAATTCATATAAGCGCTAGGCCTGGGCCTGGGCCTATTTCAATTATTTCAAATGTAAACACCATACCTAAGCCTCTGGAGACTTAATTACTGCCCATTCCACTATTTTGGGCTAGTTCTTTGTGACCTGAGCCTCTAGTAGGCCTTAGGCCTGGTCCTCTTAGCTATCAGACCCTATCCCATTAGAACTAGAATAGCTTTTCAACTAGGAGAGAACCTTTAGGTTGGGACCAAGATGTGGACCGTGACACTTGCAAATGCCTCGACCATTATCAGGATATGTTAGTCCTTACTCTCAGCACATGCTTCAACCACCATCGGCATATGCTGGCCCTTTATACAGGTAGTTCCTTTTGAACACTATTAGTGTATGCTGAGCCGCACACCACACAAAGGTATCCTAGGCTAGTGCTATGCACCATATGACCATGATTGGGTAGTAGGTGGGTTCAAGCACATCTTCATATTTCTACCGTGCCAATGCCATTTTTTTGGCTTGTAAATTCCTATAATCACTCACCAATGCTCACACCTGGGGGCTAGCTCAATTTTGCCAAACTTGAACACTGTGCTTGAGCCTCTTGAGTCTTAATCATTGTCAATACCATAATTTTGAGCTAGTTCCCCATGACTTGGGCCTTCAATAGGCCTTAAGGCCTGGTCTTCCTAGCTATTAGACCCTATCCCCCTAGAATCAAAACTGCTCCTCAACTCGGAGAGAAACCCTAAGCTTGGACCAGCATGTAAACTGTGATACATACATATGCCTCGACCACCATCGAGACATGTTGCCCCTTGGTCTCAACATATGCTAGCCTTTTGTATGGGTAGTTCCTTTAAACACCATCGGCATATGCTAGGCCATGCACCATGTGATAGTATCTTAGGCTCGGGCCATCCACCATACGTACCATGACTAAGCAATAGGTGGGTTTAGGTACATCTTCATATTTCTACCATGCCTAAGCAATTTTTTATGGCTTGTAAATTCATATAAGCGCTCACCGGCGCCTGCATCTAGGGCTGGCTCAATTTTACTAAACCAAAACACCATGACTGAGCCTATAAAGTCTTGATCACTACCAATACCAGTGTTCTGGCAAGTTTCCTATGACTTGGGCCTCTAGTCAGCCTCAAGGCTTGGTCTCCCTGGCTGTCGACCCTATCCCCCTAGAACCAAAACTGCTTATCGACTCATGACTTAAAAAAAACCCTTAGGCCTAGACTAGCATACGGACTGTGACACATGCACATGCCTTAACCATCATAAGAACATGTTGGCCTTTGCTCTTGGCACATGCTTCGACAGCCATCGACATGTGTTGGCACTTTGTACAAGTAGTTCCCTTGAACACCATTAACACATGCTAGGTCATGCACCATGCGAGGGTATCCTAGGCTTGGGCCATGCATCATGCACATAATCAATTGGCAGTAGGTAGGCTCAAGTACATCTTCATATTTCTACCATGTCAATGCCATTTTTATGACTTCTAAATTCATAAAATGGCTCACTAGTGCCAGCACCTAAGGTTGGCTTAATTATGTCAAACCAGAACACTATGCCTAAGACTTTAGAGTCTTAATCAGTGCCAATAACACTATTTTAGGCTAGTTCCCCATGAATTGGGCCTTTAGTAGGCCTCAAGGCTTGGTCCCCTTAGTTTTCAAATGCTGTCCCCCTAAAATTGGATCTACTCCTTGACTCGAAGAAAACCCTAGGCTTGGACCAACATGATGACCATGACATATGCACATGCATCAACCACTATCATGACATGTTGGCCCTTGCTTTCAACATATGTTTTGACCATCATTGGCACATGTTAGCCCTTTGTGCAGGTAGTTCCCTCGAACAACATTAGCACATGCTGGGTCGTGCACCACACGAGGGTACCTAGGATCGGGTCGTATTCCATGCGCACCATGATCGGACAATAGGTACGTTCAGGCACATCTTTATATTTTTGCTATGCCAATCCATTTTTATGGCTTGTAAATTCATATAAGCACTCACAAACACTCGCACTTAGGGCTGGTTCAATTATGCTTAACTAGAACACTATGCCAAAGCCTTTGGAGTTTTGATCACTGCCAATACCACTATTTTAGGCTAATTCCCTTGACCTGGGCCGATAATAGGCCTTAATGCTTGGTCCCTTTAGCTGTCAGACCTTGTCCCCCTAGAACTGAAACTACTCCTTGACTCGAAGAGAACCCCTAGGCCTGGACCAACATATGGATTGAGACATATGCATATGCCTTGACCACCATCGAGACATGTAGGCCTCTGCTCTCGATACATGCTTTGACCACCATCGGCACATGCTAGCCATTTGTATGGGTAGTTCCCTCAAACACTATCGGCACATGTTGGGCCACACACCATGCTAGGGTATCATGGGTTTGGGCTATGCACCATGCACACCATGACTGAACAGTAAGTGGTTTCAAGCACATCTTTATATTTTTACTATGCCAATGCCCTGTTTATGGCTTGTAAATTCATATAACAGTCCCTTAGGCCTTCATGTGAAGTTTCATGGCATGTTGACTTATTTTTTATTTTTCATTATTTTTAAAATTGGTTTTAGATTTTTTTGAAATTTTTTTTAAGAGTTTTGGACCAAGATTTGGTATATGTGATCCTTGTATTTTTGTTGGCATCCACAAAAAAATTCAACTAAAAAATCAAAGTGTAGAAAGATTTTATGGCCATTTGAAAAAAACATCCCTATTTTAGACCTTTGAATGGCTACTAGCTACAAACCTTTAAAAACTATTTTTTCTCATTAAGAGAGTGTGAGTAGTCAAGGTTGCTTAGAGGATAGGGGGCCAATATAAGGGCATATGACTAGCATCCATTGTACATCATGTCCACACACTGCTAGCCCCTTTCCTCAATCATCGAAACCCCCAATACCATTGGTCAGGTTCTTTGGTGATGCTTCAATGATGGAGTGCTAGTTAGAAAAATGTGGCACCAGCACATGCCCAAGCCTAGCGGGTGCACCGTGGCCTAGAATGAAACTTTGACAAAGGCCTCAACTATCATTGACGCATGTTAGTGCATGGTGCAATTGTCACGGGCTTTGACCTTAGACTCAGAATCTGTGCGGCCTTAGGCTTGGAATCACCTCCTTGTAGCCTAAGTCAGCCTAAAATACCAGTGTGTGGGCACTAGAACAATGGGAAGGGCTGAATGTGTAAGTTTGAGAGAAATAAGAAAACAAGATAGCTTGCTAGAATATACTTTGTATTCACTGAAACAAAAGTGTATGATGGTGTACAAATAAGGGTGGAGCAACCCTCTATTTATAGTTAAGGCTCCCAGCTACACTTATGGCTAAATCTCTAGGATCAAGGCTAAAATCAAAGAATTACAAAGATTACAATCAATCAAGATTTTATCCCCTAATTCTAAAGGTCAACTAGATCTGCTAAAAGGCTCATGTTGATCTTGAGATCTTCCAGAAGATCCCTTTGCATATCTCACATCTTGGGCCCGACTGGATGTGGTGCGGGCATCATGCAGGCCAGACCTTGGCCTTGTGGGCTAGCCTGTAGGTTGGGCAGGCATTTTGGCCTTGCCTCCAAGGCCTTGCGCGCTAACTCCCACTAGTGCACCTAGTGCAGGGGCCTCAATCTCAGGTGCGCGTGCTAGTGTCTTAATGTGCCTGGTGCGCTCGTCCAGGGTGTGACATTCTTCCTCACCTGATTATGCAATGTCCTTGTTGCATCCTCTGTATAGTACTACCTGATCTGATCCCCAAACTGCCATAAGTCCCCTGCTAGTTCCTAGCTCACCTCACTATCTGAAAGTCCCTTCTAGCGCACCAAATACTCTTATCTTGGTTGGTAGTTTTTTCATCTCACCTCTCGGTCAGCTATGATGCTGTAGACTCATTCTCATATGAGGTCCTTGTTCCCAATGGTGCACGTTTTGACTCTGCCCATCCTGGATCTCTCTCATTCTCATGGAACGGCTTAAGCATGCTTACATGAAACATCGAATGTACCCTCGACTTGGGTGGCATATCCAACTTGTAGGCAACCTTGCCTACCCTCTTGACTACTCGGAAAGATTTTTCATACCTTCAAACTAGGCCTTTATATAGCCCCCTGTGGTGCACAATGGGATGCAGCTTCACCAACACCAAGTCTCTAACCTAAAACTGCACGTCTCGTCTATTCTGGTTTGCCCACTTCTTTGACCTCTTTGTTGCCTTATGTAGACAGAATCTGGCCAAGTCAGCTTGCTCCTGCCAAGCCTTGGTAAACTTGTATGTTGTTGGATTCAGCCCTATATAACCTATAGTAATCGAACTTGGTGTTAGTGGTTGTTGACCTATCACAACTTCAAATAGGCTCTGGTTTGTTACCTCACTCTTTTGTAAGTTGTAGGAAAATTGCACAACATCTAGCAACTTTGGCCAATCCCTTTGTCTGGCACTCACATAGTGCTTGAAGTAGACCTCAAATAGTCTATTCACACACTCAATCTGCCCATCAATTTGTGGATGCTTGTTGGTGGAAAAGTTCAAGTCTGAGCCTAATAGCTTGACCAACTCAATCCATAACCTGTCTATGAAACGCCTGTCCCGATCACTAACAATGGTCCTCGACATTCTCGAGTACTTAACTATGTTCTTCAGGAACAATCGAGGTGCCTCTTCGGCTGGGCACTCTTTAGTTGTTGGAATGAAGATTCCATACTTGGAAAACCTGTCCACCACTACCATGATGCTTCCAAACCCCTCTGCCTTGGGTAGACCAACTATAAAGTCCAAAAAAACACTCTTCCATAGTCGTTCTAGCACTGGCAATGGCTTCAAGAAATTGCTTGGTTTTTTGAGCTCCACCTTGTCCTATTGGCACACAAGATAAGTCTTCACATAGGCCTTCACATCATCCTTCATGTGCGGCTAGTAGTACCAATCCTCTAGCAATGCCAAGGTGCGGCTCACTCTTGCGTGTCCAACCCACCTTGAATCATGGCACTCTTGCAAAACTTCCTTGTGAAGCTTTCCAAGCTGTGACACAAATAGTCTACTACCCCTGGTGTACAACAAACCATCCTGCACCCAAAACTGCCTAGCCTTACCTTGCTGGGTGTACTCCATAAGAGCCTTGGCTGTAGGATCATGCGTAAGTCCCTCTTTGATATGTGGCACTAGTGACCCCTCTGGTTGGCTAATGGCAGCAAGGTTAGCCTTCCTATTCAGGGAGTCTACCATCAGGTTTGCCCGCCCTAGCTTGTACTCCATCTAAAAATCAAATTTCACAAGAAAATTTTACCATCTCGCCTGCTTGAGGGATAGTTTCTTCTACATCTGAAAGTAGCTGGTCACCACATTGTCTATCTTAACCATGAACTTTGACCCCAATAGGTAATGGCGAAGTGCACAAGCAGTGTACCACTGCAGTCATCTCCTTCTCTTGGACCGTGTACTTATGCTCAGTCTTATTTAGCTTTCTACTCTCAAATGCGACTGGATGTCCCTCCTGTATCAACACACCCCCTATGGCAAAGTCTGATGCATCCATATGCACCTCATACGATTTGGCATGGTCTGGCAAGGCTAAGACTTGCTCCTCGATCACAGCCTGCTTCAACCTGTCAAAGGCTTCCTGGTACCTTGCGCTTTACTCCCATGCTCTCCTTTTCTTGAGCAAGTCAGTCAATGGCGTGGCTATTGTTGAGTGACCTTTGATAAAGTGTCTGTAGTAGTTGACCACCCAAGGAATGACCTCAACTTAGTGACCTTGGCTGGCAGTTCCCACTCCAAGATGGCATGCACCTTACCTTCATCCATGCGTATCCCGCCACCTCCCACTATGTGGCCTAGGAATGGGATCTCCTACTGGGCAAACGAGCACTTCTCCCTCTTGAAAAACAGCTTGTGCACCTGTAACACCTTGAACACTTTTCTCAAGTGATCTACATGCTCTCTCAATGTCTGGTTATAGATCATAATGTCATCCAAATAAACCACAACAAATCGATCAAGGAACGACTGAAGTACATTGTTCATAAGGGTGCAAAATGTTGCTGGGGCATTCATGAGTCTGAATGAATGGCATAACCAGGAACTCATATGAACCATACTAAGTGACACATGCTGTCTTGGGTTCATCTCCCTTTACGATCCTAACTTGGTAGTAGCCTAACCTTAAATCTAGCTTGGTGAACCACCTTACGCTTCAAATTGGTTGAATAAGTTAGCAATGAGTGGGATAAGGTACTTGTTCGAAATGGTTAGCTTGTTCAAAGCCTGATAGTCTATGCATAGCTGCAACGACCCATCATGCTTACCTGTAATAGAACCAGTACACCATATGGTGCCTTCAATGGCCTGATAAAGCTAGCATCAACTAACTCTTTGAGCTACTTCCTTAACTCCTCCAACTCTAGTGGGGACATTCGGTAAGTGGCTCTAGCTGGTGGCTTGGCCTCAGACACCAACTCGATCTTGTGGTCCACCTCCCTTTTAGGTGGTAGTTGGCTAGGTAGTTTTGTCAGCATCATATCACTAAAGGTCTTTAGTACCTTTAGCACCTCCAAGAGTGACTTGGTCTCTTACTCCCTTGGCTCCTTATACTTCAGGGCTGCCAAGAAGGTGTCTTCTTCTTTACTTACCACCTTGGCAAATTAGATGGCTGACACCACTTACGACCTAACTCCAAACCCTCTCTTCAATGGTACTAGGCATTGGCACCGTGCATCCAAGATGCAAATGCAATTGGCAAAAGGCATAAGGAGGGTGTTAATCTGAACAAGGAAATTCAACCCAATCACAAACTCATAGTCATCAAGGGGTATTACCTCTATGGTTTCCTTGCCTTTCCAATCTCCAAGCTGTAACTCAACTCCCCGTGCTACTCCAATGGCTAGAACCTCCTTGGAGTTCATTGTTTTAATGGTACCAGTCCCTTTTTGCACCTTTAGTCTGAGCTTCTGGGCTCTATCACCTAAAATAAAAAGATGTAAGGCACTTGTGTCTACCAGTGTGCTCACTTTTTGACCTACAACCATTAGATTTGCAAACATCAAGCCCTTTGGTTTGTGACTCCCCTTACTCTAAACAGCATTAAGCACTAACGACCCAAGCTTTGCTGCCCCTATCTCTGGCTCCTCATCAGACTCCTTGTCTACAACAGCCAACTTGCCTTTCTGTGGGTAATTATGCGCTATGTGGCTCTCTCTACATAGGTAGCATGCTAGTGGTTCTCGGTCCCCCTTTACTTTCCACTTGCCTGCTGGTGGCTTCCTCTCGCCATCTTTGGTTGAACGATCTCGGTCCCCATCCTTGGACTCTCGATCACGATCCTTCCTCTTGGACTACTTTTTTCGATCCCTCTCGTCCTTGCCCTTACCCTTGGGCTTGAAAGACTCGAACTTGTTCAGAGGCTTAAACTCTATCAAGGACTCAACAGTAGTCATAACTTTAGCCAAGTCATGAACTCCCCTCTGTTGTAGTTCATGCTTCACCCATGGCTTCAGCCCATCCATGAAAGCAAATAAGGCATCCTTCTTGTTTAGATCCAAGATCTATAGTATCAGTTTAGAGACTCTCTGAACATACTCCCTTATGTCTCTTTATTGGCTTAGCCTGCGTAACTTGGCCCATGCCTCACCATCGGCATACTCCGGGTAAAATTACTCCCTAAACTTTTTTTGAAACTCTACCCAGGTTCTAATCTTGGCGCTTCCATGCCAACATTATCACACCTGCACCTCCACCATAATAAGGCTATACTAGTGAGATACATAGCAGCGGTGCTTACCTTTATTACCTCATCTTGCATGTCCATGGCCTGGAAATACTGCTTCATACCCTATAGGTAGTTGTCTACTTTCTTTACCGCCCTAGTTCTTTTGAACTCTTTAGGCTTAATGACATCCATCCTGAACTTTGACACTCCAGCAAACATGCCATTCCCAATGGCAGTCTTGCAAGCAATGAGCTCGTTGGTGAGCTCCTCTATCCTCTTACTTATGGCCTCCACCATAGCCTTCAAGGTCTTATTCTTGTGGGTGATCACATCCATGCCTTTATAGAGAGCAGCTTGCAACTCACCACTGAGCTCCTCTTTCATGGAATCTAGTGCTTCAACATGAGTCTCTACATCCTCAAGCTTCTCTTGCATGTTGCCAATGCTCACCTCCACCCTGGCCAGCCTACCATCCATGGTAGACCAGATGTCTCTTGAGTTGGCCTTTTTGCCTCTTCCACGCCCGTGCTTCTGGGCTTTTGGTTGTTGGCTAGCAACGTCACTCTGGGATGCCATCTCCTCGACTGTGATCTAACTTGAACAACAGAAACACGTAGAACTGAACTTGTTCTGATACTAACTGTCACGGGCTCCGACCTTAGACTTAGAATTTGTGTGGCCTTAGGCTTGGAATCACCTCTTTATAGCCTAAGTCAGCCTAAAATACCAACGTACGGGCACTAGAACAATGGAAAGGAAGGGCTGGATGTGCAAGTTTGAGAGAAGTAGGAAAATAAGATAGCTTGCTGGAATATGTTTTGTATTCACTGAAACAGAAGTGTTTGATGGTGTACAAATGAGGGTAGAGTAGCCTTCTATTTATAGTTGAGGCTTCCAGCTACATTTATGGCTAAATCCCTAGGATCAAGGCTAAAATCAAGGAATTACAAAGATTACAATCAATCAGGATTCTATCTCCTGATTCTAAGGGTCAACTAGATTTACTAGAAGGCTTCTGCTGATCCTGAGATCTTTGAGAAGATCCTCTTGCGTATCTCCCATCTTGGGCCCTACTGGTTGTGGTGCAGGCATCATGCAGGCCAAACTTTGGCCTTGCAGGCTGACCTATAGGCTATGTGGGCATTTTGGCCTTTCCTCAAAGGCCTTGTGCGCTAACTCCCAATAGTGCGCTTGGTGCGCAGGCCTCAACCTCAGGTGCACCTGATGTGCTTGGTGCGCCTGATGTGCCTGGTGTGCCCACCCAGGGCATGACACAAGCACATGCCTTAACCATCATTAGCATAAGCTACCGGTTAGTATAGACACTTACCTCGACCACTATTAGCACAAGCTGACCTTTGGTACGAGCACTTGCCTCGACCACCATCGATACATGCTGACCTTTAATGCGAGCACGTACCTTGATCAACATCAAAAGAAGATGGTTGTTCATGTGAGTTATTTCCTTGAACACTATTAGCATATGTTAGCCCTTATTATGGGCACTGACCTTGAACACCATCGGCACATGTTGTGCTTTGTTATGGGCACATGACTCGACCACCACTAGTACTTACAAACCTTTCATGTGGGATATGCCTATTTGAAAAAAGTGTCTACATTTAAGACATTTTAATGTCTACTGCTAGCATATCTGTAAAATCTCTTAAGCTCATTAGGGGGGTGCCCCTCTCCCCTTATGAGGGGAGTAGGTATACGTTATGGGCCTCTCATTGCACACATCCATGGTAACATGCTTGGGGTAAAATCTAGGCTGTGCATGCCTTCTGGCTATGTTGTCTAAAGATTGGTTGCTTTAGTGACTGATGGAGTCGATGACCTCGACAAATTGGCATGCACTCAGAAAAGGTTGAGCTCAAGCAAGTGCCTATGGTTGATGCTACCCTATATCTAAAGACCAAGTCCATAAATTAGGTAACAACTCCCCTAGGGTGATGCAGAAGTTGTGGTCACGGGCTTAGTTTGGCCAAGTTTCTTGGGCATTTGGCTATCGATGGCTGAGATAGTTCCTATCCTAAGGCTCACAAAGAGTCCCACATATATAGGAGATTACAATAGGATTACATTAGAGACTTTTAATTTTACAAGGATTCTATCAGACAAGAGTTTGAACTAATTTGGACCCTTTCTTTAGTAGTGCCTATATAGGGCTCTGGCTGGGCTCGTGCTTGGTTTATTTCTGATCGCTCTTGGATCTATCTAAAAGCTATTGAATTGAATCCCCTAGCTTGAGCTCTTTGAGCTTATTTTAGTGCTTGTGCACCCTTTCTAGGTCATGGTCCTACCCTTAGGGCCGCCATTACACCTTTAGGCCTAGTCTTATTTGTATTTTGACTTGGTTCTATTGCCAGAACCACTTCCTGTCTCGGTGAGAAACTGTAGGCCCGATCTTTTTCATAGACTGTGACATTCTCCCCCACTCATTCTAGCAACACCCTCATTGCTAGGGGGATGCTATGCCCAAATTGCATGTCTTAGTGTATGTTGGCTTTCTATTTTGCCCCTTAAACTAGATTTCTCATGTGTTTGTCCCATACCCAAACAAGTACTCTACTAATTGTTCTCTCAAGTATCATTAGCCCCATGCTACACTGGTCCGTTTCGCCTGCATGCTCAATGTTTCCTTTGCTTTCTTTGAGTTGCCCACTACACACTTTTGTTGGAGGGATTTGGTTGCACCTCGAGACTCTTGTTATGGCACTCTATTGCCACTTTTCCTTCATCTTCTGAAAAGGTTCTACCCTCTCGATAGAATCAAAAAGCACCAAAGTGCATTGCCTTGGGCTCCTTTTGGTACTCATCATCGCTGTTACTCTTACCTATAGATAGTCTCTTTACCTAGTTAATGGTTGAAAGCCTTACACACCTTGGGCACTCTTTGACCTTGTATGGACTGCCACACAAAAAGTAACTCAAGGTCTTTTTCTCCATGCCCCTACTGGTAGCTTTATCTACTTTGCAAAATTTGGGCTTTCCCATAGCTTTTTCTTCCACTGAGGAACAAACACTAGTGTCTCCCTCACTCAGGAAATTTCCCCTAGGCATTGGAGACTTGGTGACTTGGTGCATTCAACTTGAGTTTTCGATTTTGTAACAACACTAGCCCAACTCAAAGCCACTTTATTGTAGCATGGTCTTTGCCTTCAGCTTTTGACCATCTAAAAAATGCTTAGGCACTACCACCCTGGGTCTTAACCCTACACCAACGACTACAGTAGCTTGTAACACAGCATGATCAACCTTGAGCCTTGCCAACTCTTCTCGCAAGGTTGACACGATGGCCTCCAATGCTTCATTCTACTGCATGAGCACCTCCAATGCCTCATTCAAAGATCTTTCCTTATCATCAAACCTATCCCTCAAATCAATAATGGTCACCTTGAACTTTTGTAATCGGGTG